AGTACATTGCTTTCTGGGATCAGTTTAAAGCCCAGATAGATGACAGAGACGATTTGTCAGATGCCGTCAAATTACAATATTTACGTTCACAGCTCAAGGGTAAAGCCTTGGACTTGGTCCAGCATTACCAAACCACTGACACCAATTACCAACATGCCAAAGACCAATTAAAGGACACGTTTGGCAACACTGAGGAGATAAAGGTAGCTATACTTTATCGGTTGTTGGATCTAGAGGCTTGTCGCCATGACCGTCAGAGCCTAGAGAAGTTCCAAATAGAAGTTATGAGTTTGACGAATAGTCTTAAAGATTTACATGATTGGAGTAAGTCGGAATGGTTCATCAGTCAGGTGATTCAGATGAAACTGGCTGGCACTACAGTGCATGAGTTGCACTTAAAATATCGGACGAATAGGTTCATGATAAAACAAATTGTTGAGAGGTTGGGAGATCTCGTTTCTCATTTGAGTATAGGTGTGAGAGAAGAGTCACCACCATCACAACATAAAAACCCAGACAGTCACTCAAAGATCTCGAGAGATCAGTCTAAAGCTCATACGACTAACGTTGGAGTGTACTATGGTAAAGAAGTGTCTAAGGTAAGAACCTCTAAGCAGAACCTTAGAGGCACTCATGCCAGAATGTGTGTGTTCTGCGAAGGCAAACACGCTAGCACGAGTTGCCCAGAGTATACAACACTGAGCAGTAGGCAACAGAGACTAAGAGAGTTGAGACTCTGCTTCAAGTGTTGTGGGGAACACTTTGCGAGAGACTGTGGCACCCAGCTCAGTGAGTGTCGAGTCTGTTGCAAAGGTAAGCACCATACTGCACTATGTCCCAATAATTTAAGGGAACCCCAGGCTAGTAGGGATATCTCTCAGGTAGAGATAGAAAGTGAGTCCGAGCCTGAAATGGTAGCCAGCGTGATTAGTGGGAGTGAAGTCTCTAATCCGAGTGAAAATCACGGAGGTGCTGCCCTACCTACAGTCATGGCAAAGGTTGAGTGGGCACAGGTCCGAAACAACCCGATTATTCTTTGACCAAGGAGCACAAGTATCCTTTATAACAAAAAAGTTGGTGGCTAAATTAAAGTTGAAGGCCACAAAGAAAGTTAGTATGATGTTGGGAGGGGCTATAAGTCAGGTCCCACCCAAATCTTATGATGTGGTGGATGTCACAGTCAAATTAGGTGGACATCGCAGAGACATTACAGCCTTGGTGGCAGAGACGTTACCCAGGGCAATTACAGCGAGAGGTCTTGCTGCAGCAGCTAAGAGATTGAAAGACCTTGACATGAAGCTGGCATGAAGCTTGACATGAAGCTGGCAGACCAGGGAATTACCACTGACACGGTCAGAAATGTAGGAATCCTGGTGGGAGCCAATCATATAGATGACTTCCTGTCTTCACGACGGACGTTTAGGGAAGGAATTGGGTTATACAGATCCCCAGTAGGATACATCATAGGCGGCAGGATTCCACCTGAATTCCCTGCCACGCCAGATAGAGGAGAAGCTGTCCCCATGATACCTGGGGGAGTAGTGATAATGAATACCAGTATACACTATGAACCGCCAGGGAAGCTGAACCAGGTAGGGAGTGACGAACACTCGGCCACCTTGGGAAAACACTTTTACAGGGTACGTAAAGAGGGAGATAGATTGCCATTAAATCCAGGGAACCTCGTAACAGTGGAAGGAAAGGCTACCAGGGTATGTGGGCCACTGGGTGGGAAAGCATGGGGCCACTCAGTCAAGGCTAGACATACAAAAGCTGTTAAAGTTAAAGGAAAGGGTGCTAAGACCACCGGAACCAACAAGTTTACACCCTCAGAGGTCCACACAGGGAAAACTGGATGGTTGAAGTTAGACTGGACTCTGCTCGACGAGAGTGGCCGGACGGCACTCGTGTCCAGGGTCCGCCGTGGGGGCTCACGGAAGGTGAACTTGATTTAGACTTAGTACCTACCTTCACCGGCGGGAGGATGTGGAAATTTATTTGGTCCCTAAAGTTCCACAGGACAGATCCAACATACAAAGGGGGTTCCAGCATGGCCGAAATGGAATGGCTGAGCTGGGTGGCCCTTAAACCCACCCAAACAAAAAGCATTCTCCCCGAACATAAACACATTTCTCACCCCGAGTTGGCGTGGATGAAGATACTATTTAATTTATAGATTTACCCTTCAGGGAAGGAGTAGGTAGTTTTACTGTTAGTATATTAATATTAGGTTTACTAAGGCAACTGTAGATAATAATAATGTAGACCTAAGACCTTAACATAGGTAGTAATAGGCCGATAATGTAGGCAAACACTAGGTTAAGTTAGCTAGGGAGAACTGGCAGCCCTAGCTTGAATGACGAGGTGCGGGTCTCAAAGACACAATAGCGTCCTTCTTAAGACAGACACCAACTGGACAAGATGTGTCGTGATCAGCAGACGGCGCCCCCCACGTGTCTTCACATTCGAGACCTGGAGAAATCTGGTAGAGGCACCTCGATGTACTGTAGATAACCTCCTCAGTCAGGCCCATACAGTAAGACAAGACCTCCACTTTATCTCGTAGATTTCTGGCCAGTGTCTGGGGAGATTGTGAGTGAGTTGATCTGTAGGCCCTTTGTGCAGCTGGCAGTGCATGCCCAGTAAGTACCAGTGTCTCTTGTCAGTCTGGAAGCTAGTGTCCATGTCTGCATAGTTGTACTAGGGGATACACACCCTCTTGGATATAGGAATTTCTGAGGTGCAGGCAGGTCACTAATAACAATTGAATATTGCAGGAATTCAGGCTCCCAGTTGCACATGGTTTCTGATGAGAAGTCCAAAGGGGCTATGGCTAAGCTTAGGGAAGTTGAAGATCAGGATATATGCTGCAACACCAAGTAAGTTAGTCCTTTATACGTGCATGCAGGCGAGTTTCTTGCAACATCAATCATTTGTGAAAATCTGTCCTATAAGCCACTTTTGAGGCTGAGGTACCCACCTCAGAGCTCGGTGTCAACAGAGTTTGCCAGGGTAGGCGACTCACTTGGAGGCAGTCCACACAAATTTTCACATATGGTACCTGCCTCTACTACATCGCTCGCCAGACTGTTCCACTTCTTGACCACTCTGTAACTGAAGAACTGCTTCCTAACATCCCTGTGACTCATCTGAGTCTTCAGCCTCCAAGAGTGACCCCTTGTTTCTGTGTCCCCTCTCTGGAACATTTTGTCTCTGTCCACCTTTGTCTATTCCATGCAGTATTTTGTATGTCGTTATGTCTCCACTATCTCTCCCGTCCTCCAGTGCCATCAGGCCGATTTCCCTCAACCTTCCTTCGTAGGACATTCCCCTTAGCTCTGGAACTAACCTTGTCGCAAACCATTTCACTTTCTCTAATTTCTTAACGTGCTTGATCCGGTGCTGGTTCCAAACTGGTGCTGCATACTCCAGTATGGGCCTGACGTACACGGTGTAGTGTCTTGAAAGATTCCTTACTTAGGTATCGGAAAGCTAATCTCAGGTTTGCCAGGCGCCCATATGCTGCAGCAGTTATCTGGTTGATGTGTGTTTCCGGAGACGTGTTCGGTGTTATCATCACGCCAAGATCTTTCTCCTTGAGCGAGGTTTGCAGTCGTTGGCCACCTAGCCTATACTCCGTCTGCAGTCTTCTTTGCCCTCCTCCAATCTTCATGACTTTGCATTTGGCAGGGTTGAATTCGAGAAGCCAGTTGCTGGACCACGTGTCCAGCCTGTCCAGGTCTCTTTGAAGGTCTGCCTGATCCTCATCTGATTTAATTCTCCTCATTAACTTCATATCATGTATGAACAGGGACACTTCTGAGTCTATCCCTTCCATCATGTCATTCACGTATACCAAAAATAGCACTGGTCCTAGGACCGACCCCTGTAGGACCCCGCTCGTCACAGGTGCCCACTGTGATACCTCATCAAGCACCATGACTCGTTGTTGCCTCTCTGTCAGGTATTCTCTGATCCAATGAAGTCCCCTTCCCGTTATGCGCGCCTGATCCTCTAGTTCCTGCACTAATCTCTTGTGAGGAACTGTGTCAAAGGCCTTCCTGCAGTCCATGAAGATGGAATCAACCCACCCCTCCCTCTCTCTCGTCTCTTACTTCTGTTACTATGTCATAAAACTCCAGAAAGTTTGTGACACAGGATTTGCCTTCCATGAAACCGTGCTGGTTGTCATTTATACTTTTGCTCCGTTCCAGGTGCTTTACCACTCTCCTGATCATCTTCTCAATGACTTTGCATACTATAAATGTCAGTTTAGCGTAGTTTAGCACCTCTTTTCTGTCTCCTTTTTTAAAAGTGGGAACTACATTTGCCGTCTTCCATACCTCAGGTAGTTGTCCAGTTTCAAGGGATGTGTTGAAGATTGTGGTTAATGGGACACACAGCATTTCTGCTCCCTCTCTAAGGACCCATGGGGAGATGTCCGGTCCCATTGCCTTTGAGATATCAAGGTCACTAAGCAGCTTCTTCACCTCCTCCTCAGTTGTGTGTATGTCATCCAGCACTTGTTGGTGTATTCCCTGTTGGTGTACCCCTCTGTCCTGTCTTCCCAGAGTCCTTCCTGTCTAGACAGCGAAGTGTTTTATTTTCACGGGGGTCCTTGACTTCCTTACTGTAATTATGAGCCTGAAGTCTTTTTGAAGAAAAACACAAAGCAGGCACTGGTTACTGAAGTCAGTACAAACTCTGACGGAGGATCCTGAGGACAGATTGAGCAGGACAACAGAATGAACATGATGACAGTACCCATTGCTCGTGCAATTCTTAATACATACTTCACCTCCCCTGCCTGACCTCACCTCTTGCTTCCCCTCACCTGCCTGACCTCACCTCTTGCTTCACCTCACATGCCTGACCTCACCTCTTGCTTCACCTCACATGCCTGACTTCACCTCTTGCTTCACCTCTAAATCTTTTACTTACTCCACCCTCAGCTTCTGTGAGCTCTCTCTCTCCAGCTTGATTTCAAAATTCTTGCTCACTTTATAAGCCAGTGAATCTGTATATTTCTGTGTACACATGATTTAGTCCAGCCCAGAACGAATAGCTGTAGCAGTAGTAAAGGTTTTCTTGAAGCTCAGTGTGTTTTTAGATAGTGAACTAGTAAGGAGGCAGCCTGGTGGCTAAAGCTCACGCTTCACACGGCGAGCGTCCGGGATCGATTCCCGGCGAGGGCAGAAACAATGGGCATGTTTCCTTACACCGGTTATCTATATTCAGCCATCAGTGAAATGGGTACCTGGGTGTTAGTCGACTGGTGAATCGCATCCTGGGACAAAACTGACCTAATTTGCCCGAAATGCTCTGCATAACAAGCGGCTTTCTACGTATATAGTAGTATGTCATTGATGTCAAGGTAGGCCTGTATACCTTGTACATATACTTGTAGAAATTATTATTATTATTATTATTATTATTATTATTATTATTATTATTATCACACTGGCCGATTCCCACCAAGGCAGGGTGGCCCGAAAAAGAAAAACTTTCACCATCATTCACTCCATCACTGTCTTGCCAGAAGGGTGCTTTACACTACAGTTTTTAAACTGCAACATTAACACCCCTCCTTCAGAGTGCAGGCACTGTACTTCCCATCTCCAGGACTCAAGTCCGGCCTGCCGGTTTCCCTGGACCCCTTCATAAATGTTACTTTCCTCACACTCCAACAGAACATCAAATATTAAAAACCATTTGTCTCCATTCACTCCTATCAAACACGCTCACGCATGCCTGCTGGAAGTCCAAGCCCCTCGCACACAAAACCTCTTTTACCCCCTCCCTCCAACCTTTCCTAGGCCGACCCCTACCCCGTCTTCCTTCCACAACAGACTGATACACTCTTGAATTCATTCTGTTTCGCTTCATTCTCTCTACATGTCCGAACCACCTCAACAACCCTTCCTGAGTCCTCTGGACAACAGTTTTGGTAATCCCACACCTCCTCCTAACTTCCAAACTACGAATTCTCTGCATTATATTCACACCACACATTGCCCTCAGACATGACATCTCCACTGCCTCCAGCCTTCTCCTCGCTGCAACATTCATCACCCATGCTTCACACCCATATGAGAGCGTTGGTAAAACTATACTCTCATACATTCCTCTCTTTGCCTCCAAGGACAAAGTTCTTTGTCTCCAAATTATTATTATTAATATTATTATACAAACAGTTTAGATGCACACAAAATGAGAAGCATTAATTAAGTCTCCCGGCAACAGACAATAAGAGTACAGTAACACTCTTAATACTGATACTGTTTTGAATGTAATACAAAATATGTATGACTCTTAAGGGTTTAGATCATTGTTATAATAATAATAATAATAATAATAATAATAATAATGTATGACTTACAATTTTAGTCCATAAGGATTCTAATGATATTAATGTGTAACCCTTGCGGGTTTAGTGCTACAATATAAATATGTTAAAAGTACTCACCAGACTGTGGAATAACATCTGGGTTGTTCTCGTCAGCGCGTCTTGAAGACGCTGGTGGTGGTGGGACGGTGTCAGTGATGGCAGGTATCTGTATGGTGTCAGTGAGGGTGTCTGCTGGGACCTTGGAGTGGCAGGCAGTGGTGGAAATGTCATCTTTACTGGCAAGAACAACCTCCTGCAGCATTCCTCGCCTGCACAGTCCTCTGTTTCTCCTGCTGCAGGAGCGCAGCCTTAGTACGGCACAGATAATGATAATCACCAGCAACACGCCGCCCACCGCCCCAAGCACCAGCGCTATGATGGGCGTCAAGCTGAGATGTGCTGATGACTTTCCATGAGTAGGCGATGGCTTGACCGCAGCTGTCAAGGACACCGACATACATGAGCAATGAACGCTCATCCTTTGACTTTACTCACACACTCAACACATTTTTTGACTTTCTGTATGTCATAAGTATACTCAACAAATACATACATCAAATATTTCAAAGCTTTATAACTACCAGTTATCAAGATCTCAAGTCTTAAGAGGCACGTAAGTTCTTCCGTCTTCTAATAACATGTTCATTTTTCCACTATAATCTAGCTTGTTTATAATTACTATCGTGTTTGCTTTGTCTCCTTTCGTGTTGCAGAGGTCTGAGGTGTCCTCAGAACTCATTTAAAATTAAGTCTTTTTAAAGGTTTCTCTTGTGCCTTTAAAGATATCTTTTTTTTTTCATTTATGTTTATATAAAAAAATCATTATTTTGTACCAAAAGAGCCTTAGAAAACTTACCTAACCTTATTACAACAAGTGCAATTTAATTTAGCCTAATTCAAATAAATATATTTTAGATAAGTTTACAATTTTATAATAAACAAACGTAATGAAATATATATTATTCGTTAGGTTCAGAATGATTTTTGAGAAATTACTTCATACACAAATTTTCGCTTGCCTTATTCGGCAGAGAGCGCTTTGTTATTTAAACAAAAATCGCAAGTTTTTACCTATTTGGCACGACACACACACACACACACACACACACACACACACACACACACACACACACACACACACACACACACACACACACACACACACACACGTGTGTGTGTGTGTGTGTCAGAGACTGTTTGTTCAACGTTGTCAGCACACACACCTTTAACAAATGTCTTCTTGTTAAAACCCTCTCAAACATTTTAACTGTTGATACGAAGCTACAAAACTCGGTTTCTTTCCTTTCAGGCGATTAGCAAGCAGGTTTCCAACCAATAAAAAGGCAAGTGTAAGAGAGCGATTAGAAAGGGACATGAAAGGAATCTAATGTGCCACTCTCAGTTTTATAGCCGATTGTGAAGATGGTGATTAGGGCTAAAAGCTGACGAGGAGAGTAACTTACCGGTGCGTCTCTCAGTGATATCTTTGAGTGTGTATACCTGAAGACTGATCTTTTCGCTGCTGCCTTTATCATTAGTGGAGAACACGACTCCCAGGAGAGCCTCGTCCGCTGGGACACCTCCCACTGAAAACGTCGGCACCTGCCAACACGGGCAAGACAAGTGTTTTATTTTTTTATGGTACATAACTATGTGTTACCTGTATACAAGATAATACACAGCAATGTACAGTTGTGTGCATCACAGTGCGTATTGATTTGTGTGCAGCATAGTGTATAGCAATGTGCTGAATGTGTACAGAATGGTACATAATAATTTGCCACAATTCTACATAAACAGTATGGTACAAAGCAATGTACTAAACTGATGATAGTTAACCTGAAGGATGGCAGACAGTGAAATCTTAGGCCTCGTTTCTCTTTGCAAGGTCTTTTTAACCAAAAATATCTTAATTATAGAGGAAAGTTTGGAAATTCCTAAGACAGAAAAATCTCATAATGCAGCTCAATTCTTATTCTTTTTGGTATTTATAACAGCTTTATTACAGCAGATTTGTAGACAATACAGCTTATCAATAAATCAGTTATTACAGCTAACAGGATGAATGATGGGTGCATAGTGAACTAGTTAGTAATGTTATCGAGATAGAGGATGCATAATATACTAGCCTCTGTCGTTCTCAGGATAATTATAAGGAGCAAAATATACTAGCCACTGTTGTCTATACGAGAGACATAAGGAGCTCTGTCAACTAGCTAATACCGTCCACTGGATATACAGTAAATATTGTACACAATAGACCTGCTGCTTCAGTTCACAGGATATCTATGAAGAGCAAAGTAGACTAGACATTACTGCCCATACGACGGATCTGGCAAAGTAATCTTGAACTGTCTCAGTAGCCTGGCGACCCGAGAAAGGTATCCTGAAGATTCTATGACCCACGACGCCTGTACCTCAGTGAACGGAAAAGATACAGCAAATTGTTTATTTACAGCCAAAAATAAAAGAAACTATGGAAAAATGTTACCAGAACATATTAGACAAAAATTTCAATACTACACGCCAAACAAAACTATCAACACTACACACATTAGGCGAAATTATTACCACTATACACTAGGCAAAACTATCACCACTGCACAACAGATAAAACAATCATTACCACACACCACAAGAAATCAGATGCATCCATTGACTGAGTTTTGTCTGAGAGAGCATCTGTCTTGGTTGCTTAATAGACTTAAAGCTGATCGACTACACGAAGATCATTATACGTGAGTATTACTTTTCACCAGCAATCGATAATAATTACTAAAATAAGGCTTAAATTACTCTCTCATAAATATTCACGGAGAGAGATATTGCTTTTGATGAGCAAGACAAGCGTGCAACATCTGAAGATCTTTATTCGGTGAATTATCGCCTAGTCCTTAACCTTTTCAGTCCTATACAGTGGCATGAGGAAGGTGACTTTTATACTGGAGCAAGTGGAAGAAGTAGGGAGGTGCAGCAGTTGAAGAGAGCGTTAGAAGTGGAGGTGGTTGTGGTTAGTAAGGTGGGCCAGATATTAGTAAGGTATTGCAAGAAAAGATTCTCTGATACTGCGTCAGTTAATTATCACTCCATCAGTGATATAATACCGACACATTAACGAATCAGACACATGTGTAACACCAGGGAATCAGACACGTGTGACACAAGGGAATCAGACACGTGTGACGCCAGGGAATCAGACACATATGTGACACCAGGGAATCAGACACATGTGTGACACCAGGGAATCAGACACATGTGTGGCACCAGGGAATCAGACACATGTGTGGCACCAGGGAATCAGACACATGTGTGGCACCAGGTAATCAGACACATGTGTGATACCAGGGTATCAGAGACGTGTGTAACACCATGGAATCAGACACATGTACATCACCATGGAATCAGACACATGTGCAGCACCAGGGAATAAGACACGTGTGCAGCACCAGGGAATAAGACACATGTGCAGCACCAGGGAATAAGACACATGTGCAACACCAGGGAATTAGCCACATGTGTAACACCAGGGAATCACACATGTGCAACACCATGGAACCAGACATACGTGCAACACCAGGGAATATGACACATGCGCAACATGGAATCAGACATATGTGTAACACTAGGAAATCAGTCACATGTATAACACCAGTGAATCAGACATATGTGATCCCCTGGTGTTGCACATCAGATTGTTTCAAAATAACATAGAGGTAAAAAGGTCCCCAAGTGTTGCACTGTTTTATTTCATCAACTTGTGGTTATTGTTCTTTCAATGTTTCATCTTCCTCATAACCGACCATTTCCTTGACTCTAGAAGAAATAAACAGAATAAAGTTTTATGGTATATCTACATAATTTCTTTTCCATTTGCAATTTTTAATTTCAAAACCTAATTAATTTTCGTTTTTTTTTTAAGTTCATTTACACATTTATATTCTACTTTAATTTTTGTAAATGCAAAGATTTTTTTTTTTATTTTTTTTAAAGGGAAGTAGCAACAGTGTGTTTTACAGAGATATCATACTTGCAAATCTCAGAATTTGAAATGAATTCAGGTAATTGGCTCCTACACAGTCCGAAATCTATACACACTTGCTTTTTTTGTATAGACGATACATAAACATTGAAGGTTAGAAACAAGTCCGTAAGGGCATTTGCATTTAACTGCACAAAAATCCTAATTTTTCACAATTTCCTCAAAATTAGCACCTACACAGGCTAAAAAAAATCATAAAACTTTCCTTATAGTTAGATGCACCGGTTTTAAAAGTTTGAAGCAGATAAATACTCGAATGTGTCTCTGATCACTAAATGATGCAGTGGTTTCTTCGGTCCAATAGAAAGAAGAACGGTTTAAGACGAGAAATTTGAGGTAATCAGTCCTTCAGCCTGGAGTCCAGGTGCTCAGTTCATCAGTCTTCAGACTGATACCATGTGTATCATAAATTTGCAATTAATATCCAGAGCATTTATACGGGGTTCCTGATAAACTAATTCAGTCCACAGGATGGAGTGCATTAAAGACCATTAAAAGAATGCTACAACTAACAATATAAATTAAGTTCTTAATCATATTTTTTTATTTCAGTGAAGTGAAAAATGCGCGATGTGTAAAAATTTTATAAATGAAAAAGAAACACTCGGAAAAATTCATTTTTTTTTTTTTGACTTCCGAGAACGGTAAAAATAGACGAAAAATTTCTGTGGCAGACTCGGTTACCATACGAGGTGATAATAGCGTAACTATACGCTTATATATATATTTTTTTTGCTACTCAAGACCTGCTAAAGCTTCCTGCACTTTGTCCTGATAGGATCGAAGTCCCTCGAGTCCCAGGGGAAAATTTGGCAAAAGTTTTCTCATTTGCGTTGCTGTCAGGCTCATGAAAGTAACTTAAAGAGATATGAGGTTCCAGGTTTGTGATCCAGCGCCTCACTGAGGCTGCTGGAGGAAAGATTAAATCCTGAGATATTACTCTATGGTGAGCCGTTGTTATATATATGTGGCCTGGGACCCGCCATTACATCTTACGATGTAATATATATATTTTTCGCGGGATAAAGGAGTATGTCAGAGGAAGACCTCTAAGTGGGGCCTTCGTATGATTAATATAATATACATATCTCAATTTCTACAACTACATGTACAAGGTATAGAGGCCTAGGTAACATGCATAACATGCTGCAAGTTAGGTCAGTTTTGTCCCAGGATGCCGCCCACACCAGTCCACTAACACCCGGGTACCCATTTTACTGATGGAGAACATAGACAACCAGCGTAAAGAAACACGCGCAATGTTTCTACCTCTTTCGGAAATCGAACCCGGACCCTCGGCGTGTGAAGCGAAAGCACTTCTCAGTGCACAGAATATATGCACTGAGAGGTATATGTATCATACATATATATTACCGTAGAATTTTCTTGAATCCTTATTTTAGGGATTAAAACATTCTTGCCTGGTGTTGTACAAGTGACAGACATCCTTAAATGTAATTAACCGATTACCATTTAATGTGCAGTTTGTAGCGCAAATTAATGGGAACCTTTAGCTCCTTTTCAGTCTTGTGGCCCAGTAAAGCGAAGGGATTATTAAGATGATCTGGTCATAGAGAAACGATATACAAGTCGTGCCGAATAGGTAAAACTAGTCAATTAGCAAGAACTCATTTAAAATTAAGCCGTTTCTAAAAAAAAATTATGATTTTAAAGATATATTTTTCATTTATATTACTGTAAAAATTAATAATTTTGTACCAAAAGAACCTTAGACAACTTACCTAACCTTATTATAACAAGCGCAGTTTAATTTAGCCTAATCCAAATAAATATATTTTAGATAAGTTTACAGTTATTAAATAATAAACAAACACACTGAAATATATTTTTTTCTTTAGGTTAAGAATAATTTTTGCATACACAAATGTTCGCTTGCCTTATTCGGCAAGAATAGAGTTGTTATTTAAGCTAAAATCAAAAGTTGTACCTGATAAATATTTATATACATATATTAATAGGTTTGCGTGTGTGTGTGTGTGTGTGTGTGTGTGTGTGTGCGTGCGTGCGTGCGTGCGTGCGTGTGTGTTTATGGAGAGAAGGTTGGAAATAAGTTTAAAGGGATGGCTGGTTTGATGGGGGAGGCGGTAGGTTAGGAGAGGTTTATTGTGATGTTTGAAGCAAGGTGCTGAGGGGCATTTAAAAGGTGTTAAGAAAAGGTGTAGTACGACAACAGGAAAGTTTAGTGGTAAGTTTGTAGGTATAGTAGGTTGTTATGAAGGTGTAGGGTGGAGGGAGCGGGCTAGGTTGAAGGTGCAGTGAGGCTTTAGAAAGACGTAAGGAAAAGTAGGAAGGTGTGGGGATGCAGTGGGGGTAGGGAATGAAGTTAGTGGGAATGAAGAATAGTGGAATGAAGAATAGTGGAAGTGAAAGTGGAATGAAGATAGTGGAATGAAGTATAGTGGAATGAAGAATAGTGGAATGAAGAATAGTGGAATGAAGTATAGTGGAATGAAGAATAGTGGAATGAAGAATAGTGGAATGAAGTATAGTGGAATGAAGAATAGTGGAATGAAGAATAGTGGAATGAAGAATAGTGGAATGAAGTATAGTGGAATGAAGAATAGTGGAATGAAGAATAGTGGAATGAAGAATAGTGGAATGAAGTATAGTGGAATGTAGTGGAATGAAGAATAGTGGAATGAAGAATAGTGGAATGAAGTGTAGCAGAATGAAGTATAGTGGAATGAAGCATAGTGGAATGAAGAATAGTGGAAGATAGTGTAGGGAAATGTTAAAAAAGAGGTACTGGGTGTTGGGAGAGTTTGGAAGGAGTGAGAATGTTGGAGGAGATGCAGAGTGATGAATGACAACAATGAAGGAACAGTTTGCCACTCAAACTAAAGATAAGGTCAGTCTGATGTGAATAAATATCTTGGTTAATTGTCACCTCTACATGTTCAGCTGGAGATTATGCTTGAGGTTCACTTGTGTGACCGGCGTTAGGTGAAACATAGGTTGCAGTCAAGGGGGCTACCTAATCTTATGAGGCATCTCTAGCTAATTAGTTTAAGGCGTCAGGTCAGCAGCTAGGTACGCTCGTGGAGAGCCGCCGATTTCGGTTCGATTACACATGGTACTACTACTACTACTACCACCACCACCTCTTCCTGCCTATATATAGCCGTCCTGCTCCATTTCTGGTTAGTGTGACTTTGTAAATGGTCCAAATCGGACCGAAACGTCGTCGTAAGCTTCTCTCTTTTATGTGCGGGTTATTTGTGTATCGTTCCAGTCACGGTATTGTGCCTTTTTGTTATTTAGGGGCATGGGATATATATATATATATATATATATATATATATATATATATATATATATATATATACACACACACACACAAATCCTCTTTACCTGTTAATATGAATGTATTGGTCAACAAGGTTATCTGTCTCCTTGATGCACCTATAACTTCCTCTCTTCTCTCTTAATATATACTTTAGTCTCCTATTTATCCATTTGGGAATCATTTTTATTTGACCTAATTTCTTTCTTGGGAATATATAACTTTAAGCACATTGTACATTATTGAGAAAAATTCACAATAGCAGATCCCCTCATTATTATAAATATGATCTTTATCAACAGAATCATTAGCTAAATTACTCCAGTCGAGACTAGACAGGTGTTCCCTAAGTCCGTCATAATTAGTGGAACGATAATCGGGGACTCGTATTGTATTATCTTTTTTCCTACATTCCCAGATAATATTAAAATAGAATTGTGATAACTTGCACCAAGCTCTTCAGTGACCTCTAGATTATTTACAAGGTATCCTAGTTTGATAGGTGGCCCCTAGCACTGATGATAGCGCACTTAGCACGGGTGGAAACGTTGGAACGTGTTTCCCTAAGACAACTGCTGTGCCTGTTCAGTTAGTTGTATATAAGTACCTGGGTGTGAGCCGACTAGTGTGGGTCGCATTCTGTGGACAAAATTAACTTAATTTTCCTGAAATGCTCTGAATAACAAGGGGCTTTCTATATAGTATGTCAGTGACGTCAGATTGGTTTGCATATGTTGTACATGTGCTTGTAGAAATTATAATAATAATTATTACTGTAATTATTCTGAAAACCAGATTGACTAAATTACAGTGCCCGCAAGAAAATATATACATTTCCAATGCAAAAAGTCTATGCACAAGATTTTGGTGCATACATTTCACTTGTGCCCGTCTTGTTCCATCGTTCCCCACTATGCCACGCTTCAGTGTTCTGCCAGAGCTCGGTGAGGAAGAAGGTTTGTTAGGTAGTTCCTCAGTGCCCCTTTTTCACTCGACCACGAACTTTGCTATATCTCCGCTCCAAGTGGTCATAAATCCTATCGAGAATGCTTGGCGTGTGATGAAAAACGAGATTGCGGAAGCTCGACCCACCAACATCACAGACCTGAAGGAGACACTGAAGAAGCTATAGATCAATATGGACCCCTCCTAATGTATAGATTTTTGGACAATAAAACGAAAAAAAATGCAACTAGTACTTGGTCATGTTACCCTTGTTTTTTATCACTATCTGAAGTCGCATGGGCATCGAAGTGGCGAGGGTGGAAAAGGAGGAGGCGTCCATATTGATCCAAAACTTGTTCAGTGCCTCCTTCAGGTCCATGATGTTGGGAGGTATTTCTTCAGTTATAGAGCTGTCAGGAAGTGGAATATTCTAGAGAGTGATGTAGTGGAGGCAGGATCTATACATAGCTTTAATATGATAAAGTTCATGGAGCAGAGAGTAGACCTGGTAGCAACCAATGAAGAATCGGGGCCAGAAGCTATGACTCGATCCATGCAACCACAGTTAGGCGAGTTCAGACACACACACACACACACACACACACACACACACACTCACTCACCGTGTTTGTTGTGTTAGCCAGGAGAGTGCTGGTGTGAGGTTGATACAGCTCCAGTATGAAGGTCTGTGGGAGGCCTCCGTCAAAGCCAGCAACACACCGCACGTTAACCACCTCCACTGACAAGTTGTACATGGAACAGTTGTGTACTGGGTCAGGTTTGCCTGTAGGAAACACAGGTTGTACATGGAACATTTGTTAATTTGGTCAGGCTGGCCTGTGAGAGAGGGAGGTTGTATATGGAACAGTTGAGTACTGGGTCAGGTTTCCCGGTAGGATACATACAGTGAACAGTTGGTTACTAGGTCAGGCTCACTTGTGGAAAACATAGGTTGTACATGGAAAAGTTGTGTACTGGGAGGCACAGATTGTACATGGAACCGCTGGCACTGGAACAGAACTGCGGGAGACAGATTATTTATAGAAGATTTTAGACTACAGCAGTGTACCGGACATCGTAACTAGAAGCCAGTAACCCAACACCCAAACCAGGGAGCTTGTTGTGAATTAACTAGAACTAACTAGAACCAATTACAACTAGCTAGAATCAACTAGAACCAACTAAAACCAATTAAAACTATTTATTACTAACTAGAAATAACTAGTACCAACCATAATTAACCTACCACTGTACGGGTGGTGATTGAACTCGCGGAAAGTGAGTCGTAAAACTTGAGACCAGCGTGTAAATCACTGGATAAGTTGGCAGCATTAGAACTAACTAGAACCAGCTAAAACTAACTGGAACCAACTACAACTGATACCACCTAGAACTAACTAGTATCAACCAGAACTAACCAGAGCTAGCTAGAACGAACTAAAAATATATATTTAATGAGCTAGACCGAACCAGAACAAATTAGAACTAACTCGAAGCAGCTACAACTAAGTAGAACCAACTACAACTAAGTAGAACCAACTACAACTAAGTAGAACCAACTACAACTAAGTAGAACCAACTACAACTAAGTAGAACCAACTACAACTAACTAGAACCAACTAGAACTAACTAGAACGAACCAGTGCTGATTAGAACAAGTAGGAAATAACTAGAACGGAGTAGAACTAACTCGGAGATAGAACCAGCAAGAATTGTATATAACCAACTAGAACTGACTAGGACCAATTAGAAATTAGAATCAACCAGAACTAGATAGATCTAACTAGAATGAACTAGAACCAACTGGAACTAACTAGAAACACCTAGAATGAACTAGAACCAAATAGAATTAACTAGACCCAACTAAAACTGACTAGAACCAATTAAAAATAATTAGAGCGAACTAAAACAAAACAGAACTAACTAGAAGATCTAGAACCAGTTGTGAACCTCCTAGAATTTTTTTATACATGCCCGTCACGAATTATGAGGAACCAAAAAGAGAGATAATGATTAAAGTTAGGAGAGAGACTCGTTGGTGCGTAATTTTAAAATTATTTAATGTTTATTTGTGGTAACGAAGACATTATTGGCCAGTCGTTATGTTGCCAACAATCCTCTGAGGTAATGTTTACTGTCTAGTAAACATCGACAAGTCTATATTTCATATTGATATATCATAAATCTGTTGGATATATTAAATGATATTTAAGACAGGTGTACAACAGGCAAGTACCTTCATTCCGAAATGTTTCGCTTGTACAGTTGAATACAGAGGCAACAGAAACAGCTGAGATGTGAAACGTTTCGGTATTAAGATACCTAACTGTTGTACATGTGTCTTAATTATCATCTTGTATATAAAGATCATATTCACGATATATGTTAAAAGATGGTGGGTTACCCGGCCAGAGAATGTGAGCCTCTGACTTGCTATCTCCATCGATAATTGAAGAAGCTATACTTTTGTGATCTATATATTGACTTTGAAGGCCATGGACCGTGTATTGAGTTTCGATATATGAATCTGTACATTACTGTAAACTTGGGTATACGAGTGTATAAACAGTATTAAAGGCTAAATTATAATTCACTGCTAACTTAACAGATTTTATAAACTTTTGATTAAAGTTTTAGAAACTTACAATTTTCAGTACTAAAACGGTGTAGTCCTGAATGTATGAAAAAAAATAAACACGAAAAAAAAAATCAAAATTGCAGAGAATGAGACATTGAGAAAATGAGGAAATTGAAACAGATTCTGAATTTTCAGAATTGTTTTACCAACTTTTGAGCATAAAGCCAGGCAATACACAAGTGCGACATATGAGACAAAACTAGAAGAAAGAAATGTCTTCTAAGTGAGTACTCGACATTCTCGTAAGTTAGGTACAGATGTAACACTTGACTGACGTGAAACACAGTGAGAAACACAATGGCTAAAAATATAATTTGAAAACATTGTTAAATATTTTTTTTATGATTAATGAAGCTACTAATATTAATGGCAAGATTCTTGTAGAAATTTGCTTGACTTAGAACATATGAAAACTGGTTCAGATAAAATGTCTACATGTATATATAATGCAGAGAGATGTTTTTATATATAATAAAAATGTCTGTACTTACCTAGCTGTACTCACCTGGTTAAGGTTGAAGGGGTCGATTCATAGAGCTTGGCCCCACCTCTTCGCTGGTCTCGCTCTCCTTTCTCCATGAGCTTTATCGAACCTCTTCTTAGAGGTATGTATGGATCCTATCTCCATATCATTACTCTCCAGATTGTTCCACTTCCTGACAATTCTATGAATGATGAAATTCTTGATAAATCCTCTCAGTATATTGTATGTAGTTATCATGTCCAACCCTATACCTCTTGTTCTCCAGTGCCGTCAGGTTAATTTCCCTTAAACTCTCCTCGAAGGGCATGCCCCTTAGCTGCGGAGTTGCAAACCTTTGCACTTTCTGTAATATCTTGATGTGCTTGACGAGGGGCGGTTTTCGTACTGTTGCTGCATACTTCAATATGGTCCTGACGTACACGTGTACAGTGTCTTGAATGACTCTTATTTAGTTGACGAAACGTTGTTCTTAGGTTTGCCAGGCGCCCATATACTGCAGCAGTTATTTGGTTGATGTGCGCCTCAGGAGTTTTGCTCGGTATGATGCTCAACCCCTTGAGTTATAGGAGTCTTTGACCTCCTAGGCTGTAATCCATCTGCGGTCTTTTTTGTACTTCCCTCAAGCTTCAAAATTTTGCATTTCCTGGGATTAAACCCCAGGAGCCATTTGTCAAACCAGGCTTGCAGCCTGTCCTCTCTCACTTGTATTCTTCACATTAGCTTCATGTCGTTTGCGGACACGGACACCTCTGATTCTATCCCTTCTGTCATGTCCTTCACGTACACTGGAAACAGCACAGGACCTAGACTCTTCTAGAACCCCACTCGACACATTCACAATGAATGACACCTCGTCATGTACCAAACCCCTTTGTTTCCTTCCTGTCAGTTAATCCCTGATCCATTGCAGTACTTTCCCTGCTATTCCTGCCTGCTCCTCTAGCTTTTCAACCAGTCTCTTGTGTGGTATTGTATCGAAAGCCTTTTTACGGTCAAAGTAGATGCAGTCTACCCATCCCTCTCTCTCCTGTCTTCTGTTACCTTATCGTGATGCAGGATTTCCCTTCCCTGAAGCCGTTCTGGTTGCCATTTATGAGCCCGTTCCTTTCTAGTTGCTCCACCACTCTTCTTCTGATAATCTTCTACATAACTTTACATATTATACATGTTAGCGACACATGTCTAGTTTAGTGCAGCCTGTCTGTCACATTTCTTAAAAATTGGGACTATGTTTGCTGTCTTCCACACCTTAGGCAGTTGCCCTGTTTATTGTTAGTAGAACACAGTGAATCTGCTCCCTTTCTCAAAACCCATGGAGAGATGTTGTCTGGGTCCACCGCCTTCGAGATATCTAGGTCCTCCAGCGGTTTCTTCTCAGTTATGTTCAATGTGTCCAGTCTACGGGATTAGCGCTCCCCCATAATTAAAATAATATAATCTGTGTGTCCAGCACTTGCTGATGCACCCTACTCTCTTAGTTTGCTGGAAGCCTATTTGTTTTCTCCGTGAATACCTCTCTGAATCTTGAGATGAGTTCTACACATACTTTCTGGTCGCGCCCTGTGAGCTCCCCTTCTTCCTCAGCCTGTTCACCTGGTCCTTGACTGTTGTTTTCCTCCTGATGTGGCTGTATAACAACTTTTTGGGCCAGATTTGGCTTTTGATTCTGTCATTCTTGTATTGCCACTGGGCCTCCCTCCTTATCTGCTTCTGGCTCTTTGGCTCAAGTCCCTGGTTTCCCAAGTCCATTGACTTCTATACTTTTTCCATGCTCTAGCACACTTGGTTTTAGCCTCTCCACACCTCCGGGTAAACCATGGACTCACTCTGGTCTTCCCATTGTTTCTGTTTCCCCTTAGCACGAACTTCTTCTCTTCCTTCCTGCATTTTGCAGTCACTTGTTTCATTATTTCGCTTACAGTCTTCCCCCTCTAGCTGCTTCACTCTTTTATTAACTCTACGTCTGAAGAGCGTTTCTTTTGTGATTTCCCCTATGTCTGAACTGTTTAAGGTGAATATGAGGCCCAACCTTGCTGGTTCATCATCATCTCTCTTTTTGGATGTGTCCCTAACATGTTGGTACATGAAGGTTTCGAGTGCCACCTCCAGCATCTTGGCTTTCTACGTCTCCAGTCTCCCATGTGGCTCCAGATTTTCCTTGTTTATTTCCTTGTGATTGAAATCCCCAATGATGAGTAGCTTTGCCCTGCTTATTAGGGGCCCTTCTGGCTGCCTCAGCTGTTGCCGAGGTATCTTGGTCTCCTGCTGTTCAGTAGCAGGTTGTACATCTCTGCTATTATCACTTTTGGAACCCCATTTAGAAATTATCAACTTCACCTTCAGACTAGCCCTACCAGCTCCTCAAAACTCCATTGGTCATTGATGAGGAGTGCAACTCTTCCTCCCCATCTCTTCCTCCTGTCTTTAATCAGGATCTGATATCCAGATGGGAAAATTACATCCGTTATCACCCTTATGAGCTTTGTCTCTGTGAGTGCTATGATGTCCGAGGATGCCTCAGTGATTCTTTCCCGCCACTTGTCACTCTTATTTGTTATTCCATGCGAGTTGGTATACCATACTTTCAGCTTTCTTTCCAGGTTTGTAATCAGGGGGGTGGTAGGGGTTGGTACAGGCTGAGGGTGTGGTAGACAGGGCTGGA